GCTTTATCGCCAGAATTTGTACATTTATTCAACAATTTGACTTGTTTTACGATCCTTGATGTTGAATTTATGCAAAAAAAAATGAAGGAAAAAAGTTGAAAATCCTTCAAATAACAGCTTCTACAGCGATTTTTGTGAGTTTGAGGAGAGATAAACTGGTTTTTGAAGAGAGAGAAAATCATGAGTTGCTTTGAATTTGAGGTTAAATTGGTTTTTGTTTTGTTTTAATCCTGACCACTCATCCCTATTTAATCCTACGGTTGAGATTGATTCTTATATAAGATTGAGTTCTTATATAAAGGAGGGTTCTTACTGGATCCCTCCCCTATATATATACACACACTATATGTAAGAAGATCTATAATTAGTCTTCGTTTATTATCCTTTTTTTCATCGTGTAAGAAGATTAGTAACTATATTCAATAAGCCATTCATTCATTATTGTTTGCAATACTAATATGATCTTATTCCTTAATATTAGATAATCGATTATTTCAAGGCACAAAAATTATTAAACTTGTAATGTACATTGTACACATACTAACTATCGATCAATTGTTATTTTTAAAAATAAAATGATGCGCCTTAATAACAATGTACAACTACTAAATCTCAATCAATTGTGTTTACTAAAAAGTGAAATTAAGCTCCTTAATATTAATAATAGATAATAATTGAGTATTAAAAGGCATAATAATTACTAATATTATAATATACCAATACTAACACTCGATCAATTGTTATACCAAGAAGTGAGATTATGCAAAAATAATCATTGACGAATTAAGTAATAATTATTGAAATACTTATTGTTTGCTTGTAACACCCAATACAAATGATGGCGTTTGAGTTGATGGGCTAAAATAAAATAGTGAAGGGTTAAAATAAAATGGTGGACGGTTAAAATAAAATAAATTTGGAATACAAATAATAGTTATCGGTTACTAATAAATATATCATTTTGTCAAAAAAATTTAAAATGCAAAATAAGTAAAAGTTTTAAAACATATTAATAATAAAACTTACAATTTTGGATACTTGAAATTGTTTATTTCTTGTAAGGAAACGTTCGAAACTGAAGTTTTTAAATGAAAAATAAGTAATAGTTTTAAAGCAAATCAACAACCAAAATTGCGGGATATTTACCTTGTTAACATCTTGAATATTTATATTTTAGTATACACCGCCATTATTTATAGACTATAATATAGATTTTGAGTACTATTTAAATAACTATTGTTACTGTAATATAGTTATTGAATACTATCTAAATAATTGTTGTTACTGAATAAATTACAAACTTACAATCGTTACAAATCGTTTTATTTTTAAGATTTGACCCTTTTTTTCGTTTTTTTAAATCACAATATTAATCATCAATTAATTACTCCAAATGTTTCATGAATTAGAAAGTTTGATGTTTGGTTCTACAACTTAATATTAATTTCTTATTAATCTGTCACCAAGATGATTCAAGGAGTTTATTGTGTTGCCATTGTGAATAATTCAGTGTCTATCTTCTGTTACTGATCAATAATCTAACTTGAACAAATTTTATATTTCGATGTTTAAAATCTGGGAAAACTATTCTTCTTAAAAAAAAATGTGAACATTGAAGAATATTGAAAATAACGATATTTCAATTCACATAATATAGTACGATTCGATTGAAAAACTATATGGTATGGATGAAATTATAACATTTTTTGTCTTCAAACTAATTTAATAATATGAAAAATCAGTACAATGAAGCTAATATATATATATATATATATATATATATATATATATATAACAACCTTTTTTTTTCCCAATTTTGAACATAACATTCATACAAATCAAAATAAGGAAAAAAAATTTACATACTACATTTGTAACACAACGATAAATAACAAATAATTTAAAAATTATTGTATAACAAAATATTATATATTCATATGAATATTTGAAAAAACAAACAATTTTTCAACCAAAAGATGAAGAACAAATTTTTTCATAACATATACAAGAACATGAAGAACCTAACAAAAGAGAGAAGAGAGCAAAAATCAAATCACTTAAAATCCAAATTCGAACCGCTAAACTTTTTAGCCAAAAATAATAAGAGGAGAATTAGTCATGAAACATGATAAACATTATATATATAAAAAGAAAATTGTAGAAATAATCTAAATAAGAAATTAAATTTAAGAACATGAAGAACAAGAAGAACATTAGAACTTTTAGAAGAGAGAGGAGAGAAAAATATATAGAACAAAAAAAAAAAAAAAAAAAAAGAGGAGAGAGAATGGAGTGGTTGGGAATGTTGGTGCATTGATTATGCAAAGAAAATACAAATCAGATATGAAATTTTATTTAAAAATTTGGTTTGAATTTTGAATGAAATATTAAAATATACTTTCTCCGTTTTTCTTTTTATAGTTGCAACAATTTGACTTTTACACTATTTATGTGTTGAACTTTGACTAGCTTTGATGATTATGCTTAAGCAAATATATATTCATGCATGTGGGATCTTGCTAGATTCGTCTCGATTTATACAATTTTAATATCAAATGTTTATAATTTTTATAGTATAGTTTATAATTTTTAATAATTTTTTTTTTATAAACTATACTGTAAAAATGGAGAGCAAACGAACTCTCTACTGAAGAAACCGATGTCATGAGAAGATCGAATAAAAAATTCAAAAGAACGCCTGAAAATTCACCTTAAAGTTTAGGATCTAGAGAACTAAGAGTTCAAGATGTGGAGATGGTTTCATTTGTTGAGGAAACTCCTCAGGAAAATCAACCAAGAATCCCTAAAAATGTCATATAGTAATATGGCTAAAGGAGGACTAGGAATGGCAAATGGACAATCGCAAATTGTTCATACTGAAGAGGATTTCGATTCTAATGATGATGTTCCTCTTGATTGTGATACGGATGACAATTAATGCCCAAATTTTATTCTAACTAAGGAGGAAAAGAAAAGACTAAGGAAGCCATGGCAAAACACCCTTATTATCAAATCTTTCGATAAGAAACTCATTTATGAAGTTCTTATTAAACGATTGAGATTGAAAGATATCACCTTAACGGAAGTCAGATTTGCCTAATATGTAGTCAGATTCACGAATATGGAGGATTACCACTTTGTGCTTACCTAGGGGCCGTGGATAATTGGTGATAGTTATTTGAGTATATAAGGAAATGGGTCCCAAATTTCGTAGCAGATGAAGCCCCAATCAAATTTTTGATAGTGTGGGTTCGCATACCCCAGTTATTAGTTGAATACTTCGACAAACAGTTTCTCCACAAATTGGCTCTAAAATTGGGAAGGTTATTAGTATAGATAGAAATACAGAGACCATGAGCAGAGGTCAGTTCGTGCGTTTTAGTATAAAAGTTGATCTATCCAAGCTTTTATTGTCCAAGTTTTGTCTTAATAGAAGAATTTGGCGTATTCAGTACGAAGGACTAATTTGTCTCCAATGTAAAAGGTTGGGACACAAGGAAGAAGATTCTACCATGAAAATGGTCCAAGAAGAGGATGGTGAAAGAGTTCAAGGCAAAGCTTAAGTTATCCAGCCTCAACCAGGACTGCGATCAGTTTTTTTCGTGGATGCTGGTCCAAAGGACTACCAGAAAGTATGCTTCTAAAGGTAGCAATGAGAAAGCTCTCAAAGGTGCAACTGGAGTCAAGCTTAAGGAACCACAAGTGGTGAAAAATGGTCAAAGCAAGCCTGCTAGTCAAGCCAACACAGGCGAGATGAGCCATAATGCTTCAGAAAAGTCAAAACAGAACAAACACTCGGGGTTAAGATTTGAAATATTAGATCAGGATTAGGATATGGAATTTTTGGAGGAAATATTAGAACAGAATTAGGGCCTGTTCCGATTTACTAAAAATAACTGGACTGAATTGAATTGAACTGAATAGAGCTGAAATGAATTGTTTATGAGAGAAGGAAATTAAGAACTGAATTAAACTGAACTAAATAAAGCTGAAATGAATTGTTTTTGAGAGAAGGAAATTAGAAACTGAACTGAAATGAATTGAAATTAAGCTGAACCCTAAAACAATTCAGCAAATTGAGGGGCACGTCAATTCTTTGACTTTAGATAGAGAAATGGTCGTAAAGGAAATTATCAATTTAGGTGAGGATAGTATTTTGGGATCAAAAGATATTCTTTTAGGCAAAAAGATCAAGTTGAGATGGAGGTAGATTATGAAGTTCAGTCAACCGTAGATTTAGGTTTATCTTTGGAAAATATTGATCACAATATTGTAGAGAATAATATTCCCCAAATTAAGGGGCAAAGATCCATAGAGAATATTTATGAGCAAAATTTGAACCACTACTACAAAAATAGTATAAGAAACCAAACCAAATAGGCCTAAGAGACCAAAAAATGTATGGTTTATATCTCAATGGTCTCTTAGCATAAGAAACCATGTTTTTAGTGTGGTTAGTTAGATTTAACAAAAAAACCATACTACTAGTACATATGGTTTCTTAAACTCCTTTTTAAATTAAAAATCTAGAAGGCAAAGAGACCATTTTTCTTTAAAAAAAGGTTTCTTTAATAGTATGATACATACCACGTATATAAGATATGAGGTTTCTTTGAACCATTCATAAAAAAAAAAAATAAAAAAAAAAAAAGAAAGCAATCCCTGTAACTTTTTCAATCGCTCTAAAATCCCACGCGCCGCCACAATTAAAAAGGTAAAAAAAATTACTAACTTTTTCAGCTTTGAAGATTGCTAGACTGAAATTGCTTAACTTTCTAAATTCTAATTCTTATACCTTAATTGCTGCTACTTCTGCGATTGTAACGAATGCAAGACGGAATCTGCTTATGACATATATTGATATATATAAACTTTGGAATGATCATACAAAATTGTTCATTCTTTGAAAGTGGCTGATATACAAATAATAAGATTAATAACTATGTGATAAGTTGATATAATATCTTGCTTCTTTTGTTTTTTGCACGTGAAGCTGTTGATCCTTGTCATTGGAACTTTTTTTAACTTTGTTTGTTACACTTTCTAGATTGCTTTGGCATTTTTATCTTTGATTTTATTGGTGCATTGTAAACTAGGATACTCTGACATGGAATGAGATTGCTAGGGCTATAGTGTTAGCTTTTTTACAATGTCTGGTTTAGGACATTAAACCAAACTAATAATGCTTAGTAGCATAGACTATGTGTAGTTTGCATTTGGTTTGTAATGGTGGATTAGTTGTTTGCATTTGAGTGAATTATGTTTCTTGTGTTCACGTTACGGTTTTGGTGATCAGTGTCCTTATTTTTAGAAGTTTCTTATGCAGGTTACATGGGAAGAGAGTTTTGGCTGGTGTTCTGTGCGAATTTACATGTGGTTAATTTACATTTTTCTGCTTTTGCTGGTCTTTTTTTTTTTTTTTTTTTTTTTTTAAAAGCTTTTAGTCAGTGTGTTGATAGTGCACTGCTCTGTTTTGGCTGTGGTCTTTTGATTTGTTATTTTGTTTGTGGTCGTTTTTTTTTTTTTTTTGGTTTATATGACAATTTTGTTTTTAAGAAAATTTAATATGAATGTTACTAAGTTGTCCTTCTTTGTACGAGACCATCTGGGTTGCATTAATGGCTGGGAGCTTACCATACTTGGAGATTGTGAACTCGGGTTAAGTTCTGAGTCTGCCCCAGAAACCCTGATCATCTTGAATTTTTGACCCATTTAGATTGAGACCATAAATACAGAATTAATATGGTTAAGACCCAATTATTGCAAATTGAATTGTGAAGGGGGGAGGAGGAGGAGAGTAAAAGATAGTTGGAATTTAATTAGTGTCGAAGTTCTCTAACCCGTGTAAGGAGTTATTTTGAACAAGAACACAAGAAGTTCTCTAGGCACTTATATCAATGTAAAATTTTGATATCTTTAATTATCAATAAGTATAAATTATGATAATTGAAAATTAATAATTTATTCATTTAGATGATTCTAATAAGTACCTACAAGACTATACTTTTATTTTTTTATTTTTTTATTTTTTTTATTTTTTATATTTAAATCGCAAATATTAGTAAAAGTAGGTCTGATGAATAGTCAAATATTTTTATTCCATCTATCATAAATTTTATTAATTTAATAATTACCCACTTATGTCTAAATCTTTATAAATAGCTATTAAAAGTATGCGTTAATTAAACAGTCATTACAAAAATGTATACTATAAAGATCATAGTGCTAATTAAAATGTACATCTATGTGAACCACAAATAGACAACAAAATAATACGCTCTTGTATGTTTTTACTCATTTCCACATACATGATACATCTAATTATAAGTGCCATTTTAAACATTTGTTGGCATAACACGCAAATTTTCAACAATATGCTAATTTTTTTAGTTTGTTTAACTTGAATTGAACGCGAATCCCATGGATGAATTCACTGCACTAGATCCACCATCTAGTACAAGATTATGTCCATTCACAAAACTTCCATCATCACTAGCTAGATACAGAGCTGCTCGAGCAACGTCCTCGGTCATCAAAACCCCTTGACCCCCAATAAGCCTCGGTGCCATGCCACTGAATACACCCGACGGGGAGATACAATTCACCCTTATACCATGTTGCTTAAGTTCAACACTCAAATTCTTCGCCAAACCCAAAATGGCATGCTTAGACATAGTGTAAGGGTGCGTTGCTATCCCTCCTATCAATGTGCAAACACTACAAGTGAACAATATGCAACCCTCCTTTTGTGGCACCATGACTCGAGCAGCGTGCTTGGCTCCAAAGAATGAACCATATAGGTTCACTCTAAGGACTCGATCCACCTCCTCTTGAGTCGAGTCTAAAATCGAACCTCTAGGCTTGTCCCTTATGCCTGCATTGTTGTACATGATGTCTAGCTTACCATACTTAGAGATTGTGTAGTCTACAAGGTCACGAACTTCTTCTTCTATTGATATGTCGCAGTGGAAGTACATGATGTTGTCGTTGTTGAGACTCGTGGCCAATTTTTGGCCTAGATCGTCTTGAATATCAGCAATTACAACTTTGGCTCCGTTTTCCCAGAAGAGTTTTACTGCACTTGCACCAATTCCACTTGCTCCTCCTGTCACTATTGCGATCTTTCCATCCAATCTAAAAGCAATTTAATAATTTCAGTTTAGAGAACGATGACCAACTATGCAAATTAGTTGCATATGCTTTGCAAACTTTAATATAATATTGTGAAATTGCAAATTAAAGTAACAAAGATATACAACTATACAAGTACTTCATAAGTTATATGCATATTGTGAAGTGTACTAAACTACTAACATTATTTCACGTGTCATTGACGATAATTCTCTATATACAATTGGTTGTACCTTATACATAGTACAACTAAGACTATTTATCTGCATAAGTGATTATACATAATACATGTAAGCATGTTGGTAAAGAAAAAGTCTGTAGCTATATTCAACCAAATGAAATGTGCTAATCACTTAATTTATGAGTTTTGTTTAATTTTTTTAATCAGGTTAACAACACTATTACAATCACAACCTAATATAAAAGCAATGTAAGTACAAATATAAACTAGTATATCGTATATACTTTTGAAATGTTACTTTAACCTTAGAATTGAATATGACTATATTACTAACATATTTGTGACTTACCAAATTACATATAGATATCAATACTATGTATCATGGAAAAAGGGATAGAATTTATAGAAATATACACATGAGTAAGGTGCATCCAATAGCATTTTTTTTCTTCTCGTTTTGATATTATTGCTCATTTAACATCATCAAATGAGCAATAATTAATCTTGATGAGTGTACCCATGTGCCTGGGTATATGTAAGAAATTTCAGCCTTAATATACCAAGGGGAGTTGTTTATGCTTACCTTTTGTTGGTTGATGTGGGTAAAAACCTCATATCGCCTAAATAACCAGATTGAAGGCACAAAAAAAGAAGAGAGATTTTAAAAATTAATACTTCGTATGTAATTTGGTTGAACATTAATCTTGTTAGATGTCCTACTTATATACAGATTATCACTTGATTAATCAAATACACAAAATTATAACAAAGATTTACGTATAAATAAAGATTTACGTGGGACGTCACATTGGATTTGTTATCGCAAGATTTTCATTTGACCAAGTTCTAAATTGTATCATATTCATATTATATACAAATCATTAAATTCACAATGTAAGATATGAAATTTTTCATGACATCAGGTCGATTAATAGCTTTTTCATTTGAGCAATTAAAATATGTTGACACGGTCCTTAAAAAAAAAATACTCCATAAGACTAGATATTTACTGTATTAAGATTTGGCCTTTTTTTTTTCCGGTAATTTCGTACGGATAAATTCAAGTTTTTCTTTAAGATAAATCTGTGAATATATCTCCTCACACAATCTAATTATTTTCTTCTATTTTTAAATGATAAAATGAAAATAATAAAGTGGCACAGAAATCAATGCCTAAAATTGTGAGAGGAGATAAATTGAAATGTTAATCTCTGATTTTAACTAGGACTCCTCAATTTTGTACTGTATCTATTTTGTATGGGCAAATAATCTTGGCCCATCAATTTTGTACTGTATCTATTTTGTATGGACTAATAATCTTGGCCCATCATGAATCTGCTTTGTTAAGGCCCAACTACGCAACTGGGCCAAGACGCAGGGACCTCCTTGGCTACAAGCCAGACCCATTAAGAAAAATACAACCCCCAAGATTGGGTTATTTACCCGGTTCACGATTGCTAGTAGGAGTGAGCAAAAATTCTGAGTCCTCGATGTTGGAACCACTCAATTCAAGTGGTTCCAATTTCGAGTAACAATTGCAACCGATTTTTGTTTCCAAATTTTAGGTGGAAAATCGAGTATGCACTAACCGGGTACCCAATTTTCACATGTTAGGCCATGGGCTGAGTTTGTAATTTACTAGGGCCCTATCACTACTACTTTCTTTTACCACTACTATCCACTACCACAAATCCACTACTACTATCATAATCACTGACAATCATTCCAAGATATACAAAGAAATAATTTACAGGTTTGTAGACATGACATGACCCGGCACAATTCAACATGTAGATTAGACCATGTGTGGGCCTCTTTTATGAAATTCCAACATGAGCTTGGTACAACAAGACTTCTCTTGCTCCATCTAGACATGCATGACCTTCTTTAGCATGAGACACATTGATATCAACACGCGGGCTAGCACCACCCGATCATTACCCATGTTTAGGAAATTATTTCTATCCCCTCTCAAGGTTTTCAAATAAGTACACAAATTGATTTTAAAAAAAAAAAAAAAAAAAAAATAGTACACAAATGAATGGATTTACCTTCTCTCAAGGATCGAGTCTAGGCCTAGATCTATAAGACACATAACACTCCTTCCTCTCTTGTTAACTTCAGAGAAATTTAATCTCCAAACATGCCACTCAATAAGTCAATAGACCTACAGTAAAAAGCAATAATGTGGTTGAGTTAGATTTAGATATGTTACCAACTAATCTCCTATTATATATAACACGTGATTTGGAAGTATGCACTTTACAAATAAGTTGTAGAAGGTGCCATAAATTTCCTCCCTATAATTAATAGAGAATTATTAGAGATCAAAACTTGTAAGAAATTTAATTATCAAAAGCGTTGATAAATAAAAGGAGGCTAACAATCAACGGCATGTCACCAATGGCTCCTCTTGCAGCTCAGAGGTTTGAAATACTTCTTCTTGCTCATTTTAAATTAATTTATTTATTTTTCTAACTATGTGAAACATTATCATAGTATTTGTGCTGTTAAAGAATGCATACTAAATAAAAATAAAACATTCGATCTCATGAAAGAATTCATTTTAAATTTTTACTTATTAGCTTTATAGTTCTGTAATGTTATTATGTTAGACGTGGTAGCATATGACAAAAATAATCGGGATCGATGGATTAATTTCATGTTTACAATGCAAAAATATGTATGGTTACATTTTGTTACCTTATTTTTTATGATTATTCTTTGAATTATCTTTTGGTACAAGTTAAGTTTTGTTTGTTTTGACGAAAATGATTAAAATTCTCTAAATGTAGGCTTAATTTGTTTGTTAAGAGACAATACCATGGTTAGAAATTTGGGTTTTTTCGCTAGCTAGTATAAAGGGAAGGGATAACAATGGGAGATGATAAGTCAATTTGACCCTTAATATATATAGTAATAAGGAATTAAAGGGATAAGGATGTTAAGGCCTTGCTGCCTGGTAAATAATTAAATTATTAAATAGCAGGCTACTAAGAGAAAGAGATACGGAACATTGATTAGTTTTAGTCGTATATATGTTGGGCTAATTACTTGAACATGTGAGTGACATATAAAAACTAGAGGTGTAAACTCAGTGACAATGTCTTCAGGTTCGGTTGTGTCGATTGGGTTGAGTACTTGAGTCTAGCTTAGTACAAATTTGAGTCATGTTAAATTATAATGTCCATACAAGTTAAATTATAATGTCATTTGGCAATTTCACAACAAACCAACTAACTATGAGTATTTAAGTATAATTTGTTGAAACATCACAATTTTGTAGGTTGAAAGGTAAGGTTGCAATCATAACAGGGGGAGCAAGTGGGTTTGGAAAGACCACAGCAAAATTATTTGTCCAACACGGCGCCAAAGTCGTAGTCGGGGATGTTCAAGATGAGCAAGGCCTTTCCTTGTGCAATGAAATAATTGCTTCTAACAACAACGACAACGTCAACAACAACGATCATGGAGATATAATAAACCTTGCGTTCATTGCAACGTATCCGATGACAACGATGTAAAAAATCTCATTGATCACACCATCACTAAGCACGGAAAACTCGACATCATGTTTAATAACGCTTGTACATTAGGAGACCCAATCCCATCTATTCTAACTTCCACCAATGAAAATTTTAAAAGCGTGTTTGAAAATTCTAAGCATGCCGCAAGGGTGATGATTCCGGCTAAGTCCCGGTGTCATTCTCTTTACGGCTAGCATTGCATCAGTGATGGGTTTCGAGACAACTCATGCATACACCATGTCAAAGCACGCTATAATTGGTTTAATGAAAAACTTGTGTGTAGAAATGGGGCAATATGGCATTAGAGTGAATGCGATATCACCGCCTGTTGTTTCTACGCCGTTAATGATGAATGCATTAGGGATGGATAAGGAGAAGGTCGACGAAATAAATAAAGAATCTTATGTGCTCAAAGGGGCTACACCAGAGCCCTTGGGTGTTGCTAACGCAGCATTGTTTTTGGCAAGTGATGAAGTTAAGTTTGTGAGTGGTGCTAATCTTTTCGTTGACGGTGGTTATACTATCACTAATCCATCTTTCACCATGGCTCTCAATAAATATTCTGTATGATATATATAAACAATCTGTACTATGCATGAGATAATAAAATGCATGGACCTTATATGAACCCATATTCATACAATGTTATAAGCTAAGGCTTATGTTAGTATATAATATGAGTAAGAATTACGGAGTATGTTACTTTTTATTAATGCAATGAACGTTCCCATTTATGAATTGAACAAAAATAATGCAATTCTTCTTCTAATTGTCCATGTACCATAGCTATCAGGCTAACACATAATGAACCACGAAATCAATGTGTGATGAGCTAGGCTAGACGCCTTTTGTGCTAGGGCTTGTGCTGATAAGGCTTATCTATATGTCTCCCTTTAGAGAGCTTGGATCTATAAGGCCTAGGTGCGCCATTTATCTGTATTTGTTTAAGAGGAAGAATTTGGATTCACATCAAATATTTTAGGAGGAGATTATTAAAGCTTATCTAATAGAGCCTTTTGTGTTAGGGCTTGTGCTGATAAGGTTTATCTATTTGGGTCTCTTCAGAGTGCTTGGCTTCATAAGGCATAAGTGCACCATTTATTCGTATTTGTTTAGGAGAGCTGGAGAAGATTGTTAAGGCTCCGTTTAATTTGACATGCAACAACATTTTCAATGAAAAATGATTTTTTATGGAGTCGATCCACTTATTTAAAATGTGTCGGCCCACTCTTTATTTAAACTAATTTTTGAAAAAAAAAATGAAATTATAGGGTCTCAAAGATGAAGCACGACCTGGAACATAGATTAGGTAATACATAGGTTATACTTATAAAAAATTGACAGGAGAACAACACAACACGATGTTTTTTAAGCTCAATTAGACAAAATGATTCACTTGAGCACAAGGTACGTGAGTTTTCTCAACTTGAGCAATTAACAAATAAATTTTTACGTGTGCAAAAATTATTAAACGTGTACCCCTAGCAATCAACAAATAAACTTTGACGTGTTCCCAAATTATTTAACCTACTCTCTCTCAAGGTTTTCAAAAAATACACCAAATACTGTCTTTTGGAAGCATGCACTTTATAGATAAGTTGCTAAAGGTGCCATCTTCCAATTTCGACCCTATAATATACAGAATTATTAGAGAGCAAAAGTTGTAAGAATATATCAAAAGTGCGGATAAATTAAAAGAGGTCAAGAATGAGCAACATATCATCAATGACTCCTCTTACTGCCCAGAGGTGTGATTTTCTTTCTTGATCATTTTCTTACTTCACTTAATTTTTTTTAAGATATGATTGTTTTATCATAGTTTTTGGGAAGTTTTAGGAGTACATTTGATGCAACATTTCAATCTCATGAAATACCTGGTTAATTTAGCTTTTTAGTTTTGGTGTGATAGACCATAAAATACGATTATACGAATAGTAAGTGAAAAAAAATCACTTGATAGGAAAATCATTTTTTCGGAAAATGGTTTCTATCAAAACAAATAGAGCATTAGCCAGTGCACAATGATAATTAAGTTTGAACAATTGAATAGTTGCAACTTTCCAACAACCAAACTGCATCTAATTGCTAAATCTAGCTAGCCCTTGATTTAATGGTGGCAATAATATTTAGACCATTAAATTCTTACGCTCAGTGTAATACAGGATTAATTTATTACTAATAAGTTTTAAATGGAGAATATGTTTAACTATAAAAATGGTTGGAATTTAATCGCTTTAATCTTTATATGAGTATAAATTTGATAATGAATTCAACCATGTTTTATAAATGTATGTGTGCTTAAAACAGAGGTTGACATTCTAATAAGAAAGATAATGTACCGTCTTTGTAAACACTTTTTTTTTTCCCCTAGAATTCTAATTATACTACAATGTGAGCTACTTGGACCTTTTGTATGAAAAAACTTTATGTTTTTTGTTTATTTTCTTCAATTTATCTCTTCCACTTACTTGTTTCACATTTCTTGAATGGATACTTGTGATTGATTCATATTAACTGACCTAAATCATTTTGGACCACATATATTATTGTTCGTTATATATTCTCTCACCAATTACATATTCTTACCCCACCCTCTAATAGTTTTTATCCCGAAGTGCGTTGCACCAATTACGCCACCCTCGAAAAAACATGCATGGACCTGAGGCTTATACGCGTGCAACTGACATTATATACAACACAGTGACCCCTAATTTTAACATAGTAACCTTATTAAAACTTGTGTGACCTTTTAATATTACTGTAAAACTGAAGTATAGCGTTATGTTGAATATAGTGACCCTAATTTTAACGTAATGACTTTTATTATTCATATTCACTAGTATATAAAAAATTTCGTTAAAAAAAATTAACCTCTTATAGTATTTATAATACCACAATGACTTTTATTTCAACATAATAACCTTTAATTTAATACAGTGGCCTTCATAGCGCCTCTAATGTTAGTGGTCCATAAAAAATTAGTGTAAACCATGTCCATTTAAGAGTTAATTACCTCATGCCAATTAAATATTCTTACCCACACCAATTACACTTATGCTCACATTTACCTCCGTTTTTTTTTTTTTTTTTTTTTTTTTGGCCTAAAAATTACCATTTTCAATTAAAACTTTGTAGGTTGAAAGGTAAGGTAGCTATCATAACCGGAGGAGCAAGTGGATTAGGAAAGGCGACAGCAAAACTCTTTGTCCAACATGACGCCAAAGTTGTGGTCGGAGATGTCCAAGATGAGCAAGGACTATCCTTGCGCAATGAAATAATTGCATCCACCAACGACATCGATCATGAAAACATAATCACTTACATTCATTGTAATGTTTCCGACGACAATGATGTCAAAAATCTCATTGATCTCACCATCTCTAAACACGGAAAACTCGACATCATGTTCAACAACGCTGGTATTTACGGAGACACAACCCCATCTATTTTAGATACCACAAATGAGAATTTTAAAAGCGTGTTTGAAACAAACGTGTATGGTGGCTTCTTAGGAGCTAAGCACGCCGCGAGGGTGATGATTCCGGCTAAGTCCGGTGTCATTCTCTTTACGGCTAGCATTGCATCAATGATGGCTCTCGATGCACCTCATGCATACACTATGTCGAAGCACGCAATCATTGGTTTGATGAAGAGCTTGTGCGTTGAAATGGGACAATATGGCATTAGGGTGAATGCAATATCGCCTTGTGCTGTCTCTACGCCATTAGCAACGAATGCATTGGGGATGGATAAGGAGACGGTCGACGAAATAATTTGTGAATCTTATGCGTTCAAAGGGGTTAAACCAGAGCCCTTGGATGTTGCTAATGCAGCATTGTTTTTGGCAAGTGATGAGGCTAAATTTGTGAGTGGTGCTAATTTTGTAGTTGATGGTGGGTATACTATCACTAATCCATCTTTTTCCTTGGCTCTCACTCGACATTCTGTATGATCTTAAAAAAGGTCAAGTAGAACATTGGCCCAAAGAAAAAAGGTGTTTAAGAAAATCACAAAATTGATGCATGTTTAGATATTGCTCGATACCGCACTAGCCGCTAGCTGATATAGTAGTGGACCATGTATTGGAAGTTTAGAACCAACTGTACAATGTAATTATTAAGGCCTATTGTAGCTAGCAAAATGTTGGTGAACCATGGCGAAATATAGTAATCCCCCCTTTTTAAAATAAATGATCAATTGAAATAGACACATAGTTTTAGACAAATTTTTATAATTGATTTAAATAAAATTATGTGTAAGTTGGGTATTGTTATCTATTAAATATTCTAATAAAGCAAAAATGTAAGAGAAAACTAGTACTTCCTCCGTTCCTAATTAGATGACACGTTTTTTTATCACGTTTGTCAACACATAATTTTAACGATTTATATCTCCCATTATCAACATTGTAAAATTATAAAAAGTGAATATTAATAAAATATACATGCGATTCAAACAAGATCCCACATGATTATATTTTATCGTAGGTACAAATCACAAAAGCCAGTCAAAGTGTTATTTGTGAATAGTGCAAAAGTCAAACTGTGTCATCTAAAAAGGAACAGAGGAAGTATAATACTTCGTATGTGGGACCATTAGAGAATAAATTTTAAATAATAAATGATTGTGAAAGATTTCTAAAATTAAAAATGAGACATTTTTTTTTTGAAACAGAGTGAGTATATATAGTATATTATTGTTTTTCATTAATCTTTCATTCTTTCTTTAATTAATTAAAAAATGTGGTTTATTCAAAAAAAAAAATGTGGTATCCAACACGATAGAGTTATAAATGTATATACTGAACTGACACGATAATGGCCTAATCCAATATGAGCCATAGCACAAGGGGCAGATTGATGGGCAACACGTCTTGCATGTATATCGTTTATCAAGATTTGGTAAAAATGATGGGCTAACACGAGAATGACTAATCCAACATGAGTATGTTTACCAAATCCTAATATTTCTTTCTATTCATTATTAATACTCCGTAATTCATATTTCAACTTTTATTTTTTTTATTTTTATTTTTTATTTTATTTTTTTATTTTATTTTTTTAAATTTACCTTCCTATACACTTATACTAAAGACAAACAGAACTTATAAAGAAACGATGAAGTAAAAAACATATGTGTGATTTAGACATTTCTATTAAGTAATCTCCTGGTATAGTACATGTCTTTTGGAAGCTAGCACTTTATTATAGACAAGTTGCAAAAAATGCCATTTTCCACGCTATGATTTAAACAGCATTAGAGAGCATGAGTATTAAGAAATTATCAAAAGCGTGGATAAATAGAAAGAGGCCAAGAACGAACGGCATATCATCAACTCCTCTTACCGCCCAAAGGTGTGAATTACTTCTTTCTTGCTCATTTTCTTACTTCACTTATTATCTCAAAAACAGACAAAGTTATATAACCTACAATAAATTAGTGGGAAGCAGCAAAGCCTACCTAGTGAAGATATAAGTTGCAGCACTAGCCCCAATATCTTGCGTCGTCGAGAACCTTTGAACCCGGTTCAGCAACACAACAATCTCCTTCTCTAATTCCCCAAGCGAAGAAAAGAAGAAGGGAATGAAACCATATCCAATCAGCCGACAACTAGCTTCATACTTCACCCGCTTCCGATGAGCCGCATCAGCCACAACCCGCCCAGGAACAAAGTCAGAATAGCCCTGTCTGTGTCAAACGAGAAGACCCTGTTAAGTCCACACAAACATCGCGACCACGATCCCAGGAATAAAGTAACACATCAGCAGGTCTGAGGGCCCCGTCATTCCCTCCAGACAACCCTATGTCAACCTCCTTTCTTGCCGAAATCCCAAATCTGTAGCAGATATTAACAAGGGTATCCCGGACAACATTATGCCGATATTTAATACCCACAATACCAGCACACGACACCGCGTGATCACTGAAAATATCCCCAGTAAAAACTCGAGAACAAGTAGAGCACGGCGTCGAGATAGAGAACAACATTATGCCGATGTTTATTATTATTATTATTATTATTATTATTATTAAATTTGAGCCATTGACTGAGCTATTACTTTACTAGCATCTTGCCAGCAGCAACCCAACGTATACAAGTATACGTTAGTAAACTTAAAAGTATATATTGTTGTTACATTGATTGAACATCGTATATATAAACCAGTAAATGAATAGTAAAATAGTAAATTTTATGTAATCATGGAATTGATACATCGATTTATGATGAGGTTGGGGAGTTGGTTTGGAGGGATAACTACATGTACCACACTCATATCTAGATCTGATCATGGGTGTATATTAGCTTAAGTTCAAGCAAAAAAAAATTGTGGCCAAACCCGATTCCGTGCCAAAAATACCAGGCTTTTCATATCATTTTTAGGCCGAGTCAAAATTATAACTAAAAATTAAATTTTAAGTTGCTTAACACCCCCCCCCCCAAAAAAAAGGGTGAGCCCGTGGCTGAAATTCTAGCCCAAAAATCTCCCTAAACCCGGGCAATTTTCGAGCCTGACTCGACTACATTTGATCAGCTCTACTACACCAAAAGCCTTATAGATCGAGTACAATTAATAGCTCGAGCGATAATTTTGTTTACATACATTAATAACCAATAAAAAATGATGGATGGTTTTACTGCGGTCATCTCAAAAAAAACTATCATACATTAAATTAAATGGCGCGTTGTGATTGGCTGAAATTTTACATGTCATCATAATTTTTATTTACTTTTAAATGCCAAATTAATTAAATTTTTTTATTTTTAATTTGTAGAATTCATTTTAATATTTTGAAAATTAAAAAATGATTTTTAGAAAATATAAATTTCGAAATTAATAAATGAATTTAAGAAATTAGAAATTTTGATTTCTAATTAATATGGGCATTAAAATATAAATTAAAATTAAATGCACACATGTAAAATTTCAGCCAATCACATTGTGCCATTTGGTTAAGCTAATGATAGTCATTTTCAACTGACTACAAAATAATAACATTTGTTTAGGCTTTATAGTTTATACAATCTAAAGATACAAAATATATTATTTGTACTTCGTATAAGATATGCTTCACTTAATTAATTACCATTATCAATAACTTTAACCAAATAACTAAGATTTGATGGATGGTGTAATTTGTTGGTAAATCACAACTACGCAGGTTGAAAGGTAAGGTTGCAATTATAACAGGAGGAGCCAGTAGATTTGGAAAGACCACAGCAAAACTATTTGTCCAACACGGCGCCAAAGTCGTGATCGGGGATGTTCAAGATGAGCAAGGCCTTTCCTTATGCAATGAAGTCAAAAACGATTACGGAGATGTAATCACTTACGTTCATTGATGACAATGATGTCAAAAATCTCATTGATCACACCATCTCTAAACACGGAAAACTCGACATCATGTTTAACAATGCTGGTGTAGTTGGAGATCCAGACCAATCTATTCTAACTTTCACAAATGAGAATTTTAAAAGCGTGTTTGAAACAAACGTGTACGGTGGTTTCTTAGGAGCAAAGCATGCCGCGAGGGTGATGATTCCGGCTAAGTCCGGTGTCATTCTCTTTACGGCTAGTATTGCATCGGTGATTTCTATTGAATCAACTCATGCATATGCCATGTCGAAACACGCAAAGTTGGTTTGATGAAGAACTTGTGTGTTGAATTGGGGCAATATGGCATTAGGGTGAATGCGATTTCGCCAGGTGTTGGTTCAACGCCATTAGTAATGAATCCATTGGGGATGGATAAGAAGACGATTGACGAAAGGATATGTGAGTCTTAATAGTTTAATAACTTCTGTAAATGCGCACATTTAAATAAGTCTAATAAACTTTAATAACCTTAGTTGAATTAGAACTGATTGGATCATGGCGGTCACAAGTCATTGTGCGACATGATTCCTTCCATGTATCACAAACCAATACAAACTCAATGATAAACTGTCATAAGTCTCAATATTCATTACATGTCGTCTATTAACTATATCTGTATACAAATACCATAAGTCTCAATATTTATTAAGGAATGTATATAATATTATTGGTGTTCACTTGAAGAGACACCAACATTAAAATAAAGGTTGGTTATGATGAGGCACATATATTATATATATATTTTGGTTAAAAGAGGAAGTTATGGTAATTATCACTTTCATGAAAAATTCATAACATTATTCACAAAGTTATGGTAACCAGGGTGATTTTTCAAGATTCACGTATAAAGGCCCGTGTTTTTTATGAAGTATTTTGTAATTAGGCCATAGTAGGTGGTTTATATTTAATTTTTATGCTTATGCTATGTACTACCGTGCATTTGGCTTTAATTAGTTGTTGTCTACACTAGATGAGTTTCCTTTTGTACATAGAAGGCTAGTTGGTCTTACATTCAGTACCGGAGAGAATCAATTATGATGTTATTTTTAACTTACTAGATGAGACAATATGTCACTATAGAGTTAAAGGCTATTTTTTGTATTTATAACATATATACACCCTTCATTTCACAATGATTACCCCATTTGAATGAAATATTGACACTATTTTTATAAAATGAGAGAATTTTTAAATTGCTTTTAGTATATAAAACATAACATAGTGTTTGATCTTATTTAATTCTTAGTGAGTAGTTTATTACAGAGTAATATTCAATTCAATCATTATATAGTATTTTTTTCTTCTATTATGCAAGTAATGATATTTATGGTTAAAGTAATGTAATGATAAACGTACATAGTCAAAATGAGAATATCATTGTGGAACAAAGGGAATAATTTTTTTTTATAACTCTAATAATGTTATATGCTATCACTTAGCAAAAAATTTATTTACATTGTATATAGTAAGCATTTTTTATTGGACTATTTGTTTAAAGTAATAGAAAGATTTCCTTTCCTACATGCAACTATACAAGTATACATTCAAAAAATATACTCATATAATATAGGGCCTCAATTTCCTAGCCTATCTTCACCAAGCTGATGTTTGGTCTAATGAAAAAGATTGTATGTTTTAAACTTAAGGTTGGGGTTCAATCTCCATTAGAAATACCTTGAGGGTGGGGACCCCTTACCCTACCTCCTCAATATCAAGTGTCTGCCTGCAGTACTAGATCTATAAAATCGTGAGAGTTGAGGTTTGATCAGGGCCCTTCTCCTTATCTTAAAAAAATAAATAAATAAATAAATAAATTATTAGCCTGTCTTTGGGCCTTCAAAAACTCCAAACAACCCCTAAATGATTATAATCATTTGACAAGCACCTTAACTAAAATTTAGGAGTATGTGATAAA